CATGGAACCCCGCGACATATTCGGCCTCCCAGCTTGATGCGGTAACGAAGCGCTGGCGCTTTGATTGCCAGGAAATGGGAGCATTTTGCCAAATGGCAACGAAACCAGACGTGGAACGTCGCGTGTCGGGGCAGCCTCCGTAGTCGGAGTCTCAGTATGCACGCATGGGAGCAGGGGATGGGGTGTAGGTGATGCCTCGGTGGGGGGTATGTCGGAGGTATCGCAGGACGCGATGGAAGGCTTTCCAATGGCGCATAGATGGATCATGATTGTAGCGGCCTAAGAGACCGGTTATGAAGGCGAGGTCTGGCCGAGTTGAGTCGGCAAGGTAGCGCAAGGAGCCGATCGCGCTGTCGTACGGGTAGGTCGCGGGGAGTGGGTCTTCGTCGGGTTTGCGAGCGGAGAGGTCGATTTCGGCGTACGGGGTTGGCGAAGGGTTGCTTTTTTCCATGCAATATCGCGTGAGGACGTCCTCCGTGTAGTGCGGCTGGTTGATGGTGAGGGATGTAGCTGTGCGGGTGACTTTCCAGCCGAGGATTTGTTTCACAGGCCCGAGGTCTTTGAGCGTGTACTTCGCCTGAAGCTGTCGTTTGACATCGTTGACGATGGAGCGGTCGTTGGAGATGACCAGGAAGTCATCGACAGTTATGACAAATAAAATGAAGGATTGACTGTCGGGACGGCGGAGGATAAAGGTGCAGCTGTCGCTCGTTAGGCGTTCAAAATTGAGGAGTCGGAGGGAGGAGGCAAGGCCGCTTGTGAAGATGCGGCAAGCCTGTTTGAGGCCGTACAGGTTCCCTTTGAGGAGACCGACGTGGCCGGGGTACTTGTAAGAGCCATCAAAGCGGGGTGGTTGGTGAATGTAGAGGGTTTCGGTCGGGAGGAGGAGTTTGTGGAGAAAAGCGGATTCCAGGTCCCAGTGGTCGGCGATGAGTTGCTGGGAAATGGCGAGGGCAAGGGCAGAACGGATGGAATCCCGATCAGCGACATGGCTTGAGACATTATCGGGATCGTAGTGGAGGTGAGGCACTTGTTGGTAGCCGCGAACTGTGCAGCGCGTTTTGTGGGAGGTGATGTTGCCGTCTGTGTCGCGTTTGAGGCGAAGACGGAAATGAAGGGGGAGAATGCGGGTGCTTGGAGGGACGGAGGTACGGGGAACGTAGGTGATTGTGCCACGTTTCTCCAAGGAGTCGATCTCGGCGTTCCATGAGCGTCCCCAGAGGTGAGCGTCGGGGGCGAGGCGGGCTTGCCGAAAGTTGGTGGGTGTGAGGGTGTCGGTGTGGAAGGCCAGGTAGGTGGGTGGGGTAGGAGGTGGGGGTCGCGGGG